CTTGAGGGAACTTGTGATGATATAGATAAATTGACTAGATGTTTTATCTAGGAAAAATCTACTTCGCATTGGGTGAGCTGAAGCGTTATCATGAGGGAAAAAATACATGGGTACGTGCTCACTGTTTGTTATGCCAGGGAGTAGAATGCTTCTCTACTAGGAAAACACATTTGGAGTCTCATGCATCATCATTATAAATTGTGTGTTTAGCTTCTTATGGACAATTACTTGAAGAACTACTTCTATTCTTCGAGCCTTTGGTTCAAGAGAATTCATCTTATTTTTGGTCCTCTATTTTAAAAGCCAGGGAGTTGTTGCAAGATGGCTTCATTATTCATGTTGGGGTAGGGCTTATTTTATTATGGTTTGATAAGTGGTTTATGGAAGGACACTTATGTAACAATGTGGACTATGTTCACATCATGGACTCTCGGCTACTTGTTCAGGACATTTATGTTAATGGTAGTTGGAATTTCCAACAAGTAGCTACCTGCATTCCTCATAATATTCAATAGATCATCATGGGTTCCATGTTAATGAGGATGTTGATGATCAACTAATTTGGCATCCAACCCAAGATCGAGTATATTCTACAAAATCATCTTACTGGTGGCTCAAGACTCTAGACCCATCATTGACTGTTAATGGGATACTGTTTGGTCTAATCTTTGGTCATCAAAACTCCTTGAATTTATAAAATTCTTAGCTTGGAATCTCGTTGATCTTAATACCTGGTTGCAACAACAATTCTCCTCAGTTAATGGTTCTTTGTTGTCATCTGTTGGTATTTATGGAGATCTAGGAATGACGAAATCATGAACAAATTTTTTTTGATTAAATTAGTTTATTAATTATAAATCAAGTCAGAAGCCTTCATGCAGTTATTCAAGATATGGTTCCAGCTATTGCTCCTTGGCTTTAGGATTTAGTGGAGTTATTCATGATAGTAGAGGCAGCTATATCATTGGGTTTTGTGCACCAAAGTACAAAAATAACTTTTAAAATCGGATTTTAAAATCGGCTCTTAACCAGCCGATTTTAAAAGTGACGCGGTGACAATTTTATAAATAATGAAATTACTTTTTAAATCGAATACTTTTTAATTGATTTTAAAAGGCTGATGCAACTTTTAAAATTGATTCTTAAGGAGCCGATATTAAAAGTAGCTTTTAAAATCGGTTCTTAAGTAGTCGCACTTTTAAAATCGATTACTTAAGAGTCAATTTTAAAAATGCTACTTTTAAAATCGGTTAACAGTGTTACTTTTAAAATCGGCTACTTAAGAACCGGTTTTAAAAGCTACTTTTAACATCGGCTCCTTAAGAACCGATTTTAAAAGTGCTACTTTTAAAATCGGTTCTTAAATAACCGATTTTAAAAATGTCAATGCCTATATTTATTCTCTTTCCCTCCATTCCCTCTATTCTCTTTGATCTTTCCCTCCATTCTCTTTAATCTTTTTCTCCATTTCTTTCTTTACTCTCTCTCGCACTCACATCTAAAGTTCCTAGCTTCTTATTTTCTTTGCAAGACTACTATATCAAGGTAATATTCTAATTTTTTTTTCTCATGTTGTGCATTTTGGTAAATTTTGAATCTGGAACGGCCCGTTCTGCAATCAGAACGACCCATTCTAGTTGCCATACAGGTCGTATTGCAATTAGAATAACCTGTTCTGGTTGCAATACGACCCGTACTGATATTAGAACGTGCCGTTCTGATTGCAGAACGGACCATTTTGCAATCAGAGCGACCCATTCTAACTGCAGTACTAGCCCTTCTAACTGAAGAACGAGCCGTTCTGATTGTAGTACGGGCCGTTCCAGACTACAGTTTTAGGCCTTTTGAGGAAACTGGAACGACCTGTACCAATTTAAAAGTCTAACTTTTAAAACCGGTTTATGCATGACCGATGTTAAAAGTCTTACTTTTAAAATCGGTTGATGTATGACCGATATACTTTTAACATTAGTCAATGACCAATGTTAAAAGTGTCACTTTTTAAAATCGGTTAGAAAACCGATTTTAAAAATAAAAAATAACTGATTTTAAAAGTATTTTTTCCATTACTGGTTACGATTTCACAACCTCACTAGTAGTTGAACTATTTGCTATCTAGCCTTACAACTCATTCAATAGGTTGATATCTCCTTTCATCCCCATGCTTTTATTACAAGGAAGATCCAATCTTACTACTAGAGCAAAAAGTGGGAGCTCACCTTTGAACATGATTTCAGGGAAGCCAATATGTGTGCAGATGGTCTTGCAAATATGGGATCTTCTAACCATATATACTAAAACTATTGTATTTGATTCTTGTCCTTCTATGATTTCTCATTTAATTCTAGCTTACATTTTAGGTGTTATGTACTTACGTTAGGTCTCCTTTTGTTTATTTTGTGTGTCTTCTTGTTCCTATTAATAAAAAATGTTTTTTTTAAGAAATTAATGTATTATTATTATTATATTGACTAAAATATATTTTTAATTTCTCCAAATAATCTACAATTTTGATATTAATTCATTTGAAAATTTAATATATTTTTAGTCTTTACATTTATAAAAGGACTTTAATTAAAGTACTATAATCGGAGTAAAAAAGTTTTTATTGTATAACATGTCAGATTTAAAAAATTAATATAATATTATTAACAAAATTTATATAACATAAATTATTATTATTTTAAATGACTTTGGATTCGGCAAAATTATTGTTGAACAACTTAATCACTGGCTTCATGGTTTCAGTAGAGGAACAAAATAATTATGTTAATTGCAAATGCATTAATATAATTGTTTGCTTTCTCAAATGAATAATGAAAGAAAAACAACGAAGAAAAAAAACACAGTATAAGACATCCCAAAGAAAATCCTTACCAAGTAAGAAATATGAAAGTTGATATTCACATTGTGATAAATATAGTATACGGTTAATATATATTCCATTTTGCTTCCATCTACAGCAATATCATAAAATAAAGATCTTGTAAATAGATTAATAAAATCAACGGATTTCAAAAGTTCAATTTGTTCATCCAAATTTGCTTTTACATATGTAGCAATATCATACAGCAATAACAATTTTTCATAACAATAAAATGCTGAGATAACTTAGATCAGAAATAATCACAAAAATTGAATGATAATATAGTTTAGATTAGAGAACCAAAAGTGAAGAAAATTAATATTCAAAAAAAGATAATATACCCCGACAGACAATAACAAAAGCGATTAAGAGAGAGATCTCTCAAATATGCAATACATGTGTGCATAAAATAGAAGTTGAGGATGTTAATAAAGAAAAAAAAAATTATGATTACACAACCGAGAAGCAGGGAAATATAATAGATTAAGCAGGGCTTAATCTCGTAAATATCATACCAACCAAAATGTCACCCAAAATTTTCATACTGAAATGAAACACGAATAGCCCAGACCAAGCATAACATTTGACAAAAGCCAGGGAAATATAATAGAACAACAGATTGCAAAGGAACTCCATATATGGAATCCTCCTATAACACTTGCCAAAGTGAGTAAATATTGACTAAGGGTGTATTTGAATAGCCATTGAAACATCAACCCTTCATATTTTTGCTGCCACATTTGGTGCCCGGGAATGAGTGTAATATAAGAGAAAACACTTATACAAATACATTTAAAGGTGTCTTTGAACACTAATCCACATACATTCTTATAAAGTCAAACAGAAAAACATAAATGTGAATGGATTGAATTAAACATAAATTTGACTGTTGAAAATGTTAAAACAGATATATACTAAATGTGTATTTGTTTTATTGTTAAAATTTTATAAAGATACGTAGAACGGAAAAGAGAAATAATTACTTTGTATTTTAGTGATTTGGAAAGTGTATTTTTACGATTTTATTAAAAAAATAGTTTTCCAAACACGCCGTAAATAGTTGATCGCAAACATAGGTTGAGACAACAACAAATTGGACGTCGTATGCAACAACTACAAATTGGCCAAATAAGTGCTTGATCCTTGGAGATGAGAGGAATAGCAGTTCTTGATCAGAAATAAATGCAGAGCTATTTGTAGACGAAGAAAAATATTTAGAAGAAATATTCATAGATGCCAACTGATTAAAGCTTTCTCAATTTATAATACACAATGAAGCACAAAATCAAAAATACAAAAGACCATTGAAAAGTAAAAGAGTTGTTGTGAAGGAGTAAGAATAATCAACGATGTATCCAACTTTAAGCATTAAAAGAAAAGATAAGAACATATAGTTGCATGGTAAATGGAAGGTTAAACAACTACTGATGAATGAAGAGGAAAGGATAGCATAAAAAATGACATAGGCATATAGTGATATAACCTGCTGCTACTATAGCAAAGAGACTATTTTGAAAACTGTCGTGCATTTAAATCAACTTTTGTTGTGTGCAGTTGAGCGTGAATTAATGAAAAAATTTGAGAGAGAAAGTAATATGGGAAAATTAATTCGTTTTATATAATATATATTAAGATCATATATGATTCTAGTATTATATATCATCATCATTATAAATTTTTAATTTGTATACAAATATTGTTTCTAAGAAAAAAATCAAATATATTTTTAATTTTTTAAATTTAAAATAAATTTATTTATAGTCCTTTAAATTTGAAATTATTATTTTTAATATTATAATTTTTAAAATTTTTATTTTAATTTATCAAATTATCAATAATATATCTAAAATGTAATATTTTCATTAATAAGAATGTAAATAAATTTTAAATGATAATATTTGACAAATTTTTTAATAAAATTTTAAAGATAAAGATTAAAATAAGATATTTTAAAATTATAGTATTAAAAAAGTTAATTTTAAATTCGATAAACTAAAATTAAATTTATCTAGACTTAAAAATATATTTAAATGATAAGAAAAATAAATAAATAAAATTATACTACTTTATTAGAAGAAAAAAAAAAGAAAAAAAAAAAAGATAACGTGTTTACCGTAGTGGAAAAAAACCAAAAGCGAAGTGCATGCGGGGTCTCTGGCAAGTCGCATAGCAGAAGATATTTTTTGGTTCTCGTGGGAACGAAAACCTCTCTTTCACTCTCTACTCTCTAGCATAGCATCTGTTTGAAAGTAGAAATCCGAATTATTTCGTGGTTGAGGTCGTGCCAGAGGTAACAACGATTCAGCTTCTTTAGTGTTGATTAACGATTTGCGAGTTCTACTTTCCGGAAAATCTCATTTTAGTGTTGAGGAAGGGCTTAGGGTTTTTTCTTCTATTGCCGCATTCCTCCTCTGACATCGTCTCTTCTGATCTTCAGGTTTGATCGACGTCAAAACTCGTCTTTGTCAAAGACTGTTGCTATTCTTCCGGCGTAAGGTAATGCGTTATAGACTTTGTTCTTTTTTCTTCCTTGTTTAATGTTGAGTTTTGAGAGTGAGTGAAAGAATATACGAACAGTGTCAAAAGCATTTTTCTCCCTATGTGGTCGACTACAAGCACAATTGAAAATCTATTGATGATAGACAAACTGAAAATATTGTTGAGAATAAGAATCATCTTGTTTCGTCATTTATTTTTACGTTTTGTTTTGTAGACACTGTCTTCATTTTAGTTTTAATCTTCTCTTGTGTTGTGTACACTGACGAACAATGCGTGGACCGACTTATTTTGAAAAATGAGAAGCTATTGTTTATTTTCTTAAATTTAAGAGTTGTTAAGCATGCAATTAATCTTAAATTTCTTATTTGCAGATGACCCGTCAGCCGGAACGAGTCCGTGAGTCTGACTTCGATTACTATGAACGCGTGTATTACAAAGACTTGAAGAATGATTACTATAAATTCAAAATCTCCAAGTCATCATATAGATGTCCCTTTTGCATGGATCAGCAGGATTACTCATTGAATGAGCTTTTGAAACATGCATCAAAATTTGTCGAGGAACCACGGAGCATGAGGATAAAAGATGTGGCAAAGCATTCTGCCCTTCAATTATACATTGAAAGGTACCTCGGTCTCAATGATAGATCAGAGAAAAATGTTAGTGACAGATCAGGAAAAGTTGTAGGTAATAGGTCAGAAAGATTTGTCAGGGATAGTGCAGGGGTAGTTGTCAATGATAATTCACAAAAGGTTGTTAGTGATAGATATGGAAAAGTTGTGAGTAATAATAGATCAGAAAAAATTGTCAATGATAGATCAATAGTAGTTGTCAATGACGATTCAAAAAAAGTTTGCAAAGATCAATTATTTGTCTGGCCTTGGATGGCCGTTGTTGCAAACATTGCCACTGAATTTAAAGACGGAAAGCGCATTGGAGAAAGTGGTGCCAATCTACGGGATGAGTTTACTCTGAAAGGATTTCATCCTTTGAGAGTTCATCCATTATGGAACCGTAATGGACATTCGGGCTATGCCATTGTGGAGTTCTCCAAAGATTGGGAGGGTTTCACCAACGCGATGAACTTTGAAAGGAATTTTGAGACTGAACATTGTGGTAAGAGGGATTACTACAACTCAAGACACCGAGGGGATAGACTGTATGGATGGGTAGCCCGCGATGATGACTATAACTCCAAGTGTGTAATTGGTGATTACCTTCGTAGGACTGGGGATTTGCAAACTGTTTCTGGAAAACAAGCAGAGGAAAAAAGGAAGACATCACTGCTTGTCTCAGATTTAGCTAAGACCTTGAAAGTGAAGAATGAGAATTTGGAACAGGTATGTAGCAAATATGATGATATCAGTGTGTCCCTGAACAGAGTTATGGATGAGAAAGAAGCAATGATTGAATCATATAATAATGGTATGTTGAAGCTTGAACTGAATTGTTTAAATTCATATTAGTTATTTTTTTCCTCATAGCTTATTGTTTGTTTGTCCGAGTTGAAAGGTAAAACCATCAGGTTGTGATTATATCTATTCTTTTGAGATAGCTTACTGTTTGTTTTACTTTGAAGTGAACTATGTAGTTTATGTAATTTTCTAATCTTTCTTGGTAGCTTACTTTGTGTTTCACCTTGTTCAATTAGAAATAAAAAAGATGCAGCAAGATAGCCGGAAAGAATGGAAGAAATTTTATATGGATCATGAAAAGGCCAGATTGGATCTGCGTGCTCAGAGGAAAATACTAGAGGACCGTGAAAAGGATCTTCTAAGATGTCGAGTGCAGAATGAGAATGAGAGAAAAAGACTATACCGTGAAAGGAAAAATGTAATCTGTTTTGGCTGCTTTGATTTATGGATATGACTTTTTTGGTGTGAAATTCTTAATAATTCTCCATTTATTTAATTAATTCTTTTTTGTGTGAAATTCTTAATAATCCTCTATTTATTTAATTAATTCAAATAGTGATGAACTTAGTTCTTCATTTTTTCTTTTACAGAATGAGATGGCAATAATGGAGCAAAACAAGTCTGATGAGAAAGTGATGCATTTGGCAGAAGAACACCAGGCACCAATTCCATATTCTTCTTTGTACCAATAAATAATTTAATTCCTTTACATGTATCCATATAATATATGGTCATGATTGAGTCATTTTTGTGTCTGAAATGTAGAAAGAAAAGGAGGAACTGAATAAGAAAATTCTTGAACTACAAGGCAAACTTGATGCCAAACAAACATTGGAGTTGGATATTCAACAATTGAAAGGACATCTTCAAGTAATGGAACACATGGAAGAGGATGATGATGTGGAGAAAAAAAAATTGGATGCAATAAAATTGGATCTACTAGATAAGGAGGAGGAATTAGAAGGACTGGAAGCACTTCAACAAGCTCTTGTTGTCAAGGAACGTAGAACCAATGATGAGTTGCAAGATGCTCGCAAGGAGTTAATACGTGTATGTGTCTTTTTCCAAGCATAAACTTAAATGTTTGATATTATTGCAACTTTAGGCCTTCAACTAACTGGTCTTCTCCAAGTAATCATTGTAATTTTTACCAACCGGGAGGGCTTTTATTTCTATAAACTACTGGGTAAAAGTCTGCATAAATGTAAGGTTGTCTTGATTTTTTAAAATTGGCACACACTTGGTTATTTACTAATTGCATCAGAGTGTTTCTTGTTTAGTAGTCTGCTTGTTAACATTGCAGTCACGTAATTGGAGTCATGTTAAGAATATGACATTGGTGATTGGCTGCAATAACTTGAGCTTATGTTGTCAACTGTAGGAGCCACTATTGTGGTAGAGCGGCTCCTTTTTTTAGCCACTATTGTGGTAGAGCGGCTCCTCGTTGCCACAGTAACTCCCTAGCCGGGTGTTTCACTGGAGCGGCAGGAGTGGATGCGAAACTGCAGAGTAGTTCACAAAAATAAAAAATACCTTCACTTGATGAGTTTTTTTACTTTTTTTTTCCTGTGTCCTTTTCTTATTTTTTTCTTCCTTTTCCTTTTCCTTTTTCTCTTCCTTTTTTTTCTTTATTGTTGGCAGCAGCATTTTTTGTAATTATGTGGTTTTTTTTTTTTTTAATTTTATGGTTTTTTTTTTTTTTAATTTTATGGTTTTTTTTTTTTTTAATTTTATGGTTTTTTTTTTTTTTAATTTTATGGTTTTTTTTTTTTTTAATTTTATGGTTTTTTTTTTTTTTAATTTTATGGTTTTTTTTTTTTTTAATTTTATGGTTTTTTTTTTTTTTAATTTTATGGTTTTTTTTTTTTTTAATTTTATGGTTTTTTTTTTTTTTAATTTTATGGTTTTTTTTTTTTTTAATTTTATGGTTTTTTTTTTTTTTAATTTTATGGTTTTTTTTTTTTTTAATTTTATGGTTTTTTTTTTTTTTAATTTTATGGTTTTTTTTTTTTTTAATTTTATGGTTTTTTTTTTTTTTAATTTTATGGTTTTTTTTTTTTTTAATTTTATGGTTTTTTTTTTTTTTAATTTTATGGTTTTTTTTTTTTTTAATTTTATGGTTTTTTTTTTTTTTAATTTTATGGTTTTTTTTTTTTTTAATTTTATGGTTTTTTTTTTTTTTAATTTTATGGTTTTTTTTTTTTTTTACTTGTATGGTTTTGTTCTTTTGGTGGTCAGCAAAACCATGTCCTAACCAAATGGTACACCATCAGTGGTCATGAAGATTGAATTCTAATGTTTACTTTTTTAGTTACCTAGTACTTTAATTACTTTAGGCTATAGCTTTAGATGATTTAAAGCTTTAAGCACCTTGTCTCCTTGATTTTTTATTTATGTTTTGTGTACTATGAACTTTTGTTATTGAAAATGATTAATGCATGAGTTGAGTTATTTTTCTGTTTTTTGGCTTATATGTAATATTAATTATTTGATACATATATAAATGTAATATTAGAATAGTAGTCATTCTGCTATCGTCAATTCCTCTTTTGGGATTGGCTGTGCTCTGCTCCATTATTCGGGTTGGCATGGCAACTATGACCTAAACTCATTTGTTTTGCATGATTTTTTTTTTGGATAACCATGGTATTGTACGAAGTATTCATCGTCGGAAGCAGTGACTAATTTTTGTTGGAGACCGTAAGCTCATACAAAGTGGATATTTTTCTCCCAATGTAGTCTATTCCATATCCAAGGCTAGGATTCGAATCATAGGCAATTTGGTTAAGAGACACAAGTTATCACTTGTGTCACCCAATGTTGGTATCTTCGCAATGCACATGCTACACATACCATGTTTTAACCTGTCTCCTTATTTGAGAATTGCAGTTTTTCAACAATATCATCTAAGAATCATGCAAAAGTACTATACAATTTATTGGTGTTCAAAGGAGATGATTTAAATCCGTAAGGGTTTATGTTTCGATTTAAAATTGGTAGAACATGGCTATAAAACTGTTCTGATGCTTGAGCTTAGTAAATATGCACTATAGTTGAGCTAGTTTGTTGTGTTACTGTTGCTGCAATGGTTTTGTATTTTTTTAAGTAATATATTTTCCTTGTTCACAGTGGCTGGGGAAGACCAAAACTCGGGCTTTTATTGGTGTGAAAAGAATGGGAGAGTTAGATGGAATGCCCTTTCTCAGAGCAGCTAAGAGAAAATTTTCTGATGATGAAGTGAATTTGAAAGCAGTGGAGTCGTGCTCACTGTACGAGGCTCATGTTGGAGATCCAAGCTGGTTTCCATTTAAAGTGATAACAGACAAGGAAGGGAAGGCCAAGGTATTATGACTTTCAGATTTTCGAGTTCAAATAGAAGTGATCTTTTTGACACCTAGGAATTGTTCGTACATTTTAATTGTGGAAAATACATGATGGCCTCATTATCCAAGCTAGTAATACTTAAAAAATTTATTGCATAATTACATAGTAGTTAAAATCATGGTATGCTGTGAATATTATTGTTCAAAGATCTATTGGCACGGAAGGTGCTATGCACATTTTCAGCACTTAGTTGGCCCTTTTATTTTCCTAATTTTTTGTGCATGGATCATGACTGTTGAATATATTTTGTAGGAAATTTTAGATGAAGAAGATGAGAAACTGAAAACTTTGAAGGATGAGTTTGGTGAAGAGGTCTTTGGAGCAGTGGCTACAGCTCTGATGGAGTTGAATGAGTACAATGCTAGTGGTAGATATGCAATACCGGAGCTGTGGAATTTTAAGGAAGGAAGGAAGGCTTCGTTAAAAGAAGGTGTTTCACATTTACTCAAGCAATGGAAACTGTCAAAACGTAGGAGAGGTTGAGGATTCGTTTGTGTGGTTGGAAGTAGGACTGTTTCAAAACTTAAATTTCTGGTTCTTGTTCTAACGAGGCTATTGTTGTCGTTTTTGTCGTGACGAAATTGGATTTAGTTCAACTCTATAATATTAAAGGATGGATGGGTATAGTTACATGCACTGATACCATGTTATACATTTTTCTTCCTTGTGATCGGGTTTTTACATTTGCCTGGGCACATTTTACTCTAGAATTTATTTGAAATCGTATTAGACCGTGGAATTGAAATAGCGAATTATATTGTTTAAATTTATATTTTTAGTTGGCTGTTATTTATAAATGTACTAGTGTTTTTATAAAGTTCCATGCAAAGTTTGCTGGCATGTTTATAAATAACTCCAATTTGTCAGATGTTTTTCACGAATAAAGTTCCTTGCAGTGTTTGTTAGCAGATTCTGCTCATTAAATATTCAAAGAAAATGAAATTCAAAATAGTGAATATACTAATTATAATTGATCATAGTTCGTGTTTTGAAAAAAAATTCAAGACGGTATTTTCCGCATTCATGTGAAATATACGTGGAAGCAGCAACTAGATATTTCAGTCAATACTGGTTTTTCGCATCATGGGTTGGAAATGGTTTCCAAACATGTTAGTAATGGATCATTAATTAGATTCAACTTCAAGCTCTTTTCTTCAACGTTGACTCGTAACGTAACTTTATAGGTTCATTTTATAGAGAATTTCATTGCTGTAAGACCTTCCAAAAATCCACACGATTTCCCAAGTCTAGTTGAATGAGTCTCGCTGTTAAGCATTTAACTTTTATTATGTGTAATGTGTAGTAGATGGGATTGTTATTTTGATCATTGACTAATAGCATCAAATCCACGTCATAACGCATCCAAATGAAAGCTACTTTGCTCGTTTTTAATCACCTTTCCTCATACGCATTTGACGTGAAAAATCAAAAGTTATTAATCGTAGCGGCTTTTAGTATTGGATGTGAAATGCATAGGAAGTGATAGTAACTTTAATGAATTTATGTTTGAAGGTCCAGTAGATGCAAACGCAAAGGCGCATTAAATCCTAGACAATTCAGCAATAACTGCATAGTCGAATTTTTCCAACAAACATTATAACACCCCACCCCACCGCCCCAAATGAAAGGAGAGGGAAAAGGCACGAACCAGAACCAGAACCAAAACCAAATAGTAATACTCTTCCCATCCGAGCCTTTTATCAGTTTATACTTTATAGTTAAGCACAAGACAACACGCTTCCTTTGATACACGAAACAATATAGTAATAGTAGTACTAGTATATTAAAATAGCCGCGGGCTACCCTTTTTGCCTAGCCGCTTCAGCATTTCCTACACTCATCTATCATCCAAATCGGAACGTACAATAAAAAAGTCAAAAACTCACTCATAGTCATAATCAAGCACTTCCTCTGCAGTCAAAATGATTATGGGCAAAACTGGAAATAGATAAATGGTGGGAAGCCAAACAAAAAGAAAATGAAGTTGTATTTTGATTTATATATATTAGGATAATTAAAATAAAAAAAAGAAAAGTGAAGGGGTGGTGAATGGTGATGACTGATCAGAGTTCAGACACGGAAATTCTTTCCAGTGAAAGTTTGACCAAATTGCCAATTGGGTGGAACAATGTTCCAAGAAGTGGAGGAGCGACGGTCACTCCCGGTGACTCTGAAGGACAAAGCCTGACCCACCAAAACGGCGTTTGACTGCCAGTTCTGACCCCAGTTCCTGCTCATAGGCATCCACCCCGTTCGAGACCCCTTTACGTACGCGTGCACGATATCCCCTGCACCCGCGACGTTGCTGATCAGCACCAAGTTGAAGTAACGGAAACCGTTGATGGTGAACCTTATCCCCCCGTGCTTCCTGCACGCCACCCTGCACAAATAAAAACACAACATTCACTATAACTTCTTAACCACCCACTAACGAATCTCGTCAACGTGGGACTTGAATGTACCTGCGATATGCGACAGGAACGATGCCGGCGCGGTACTCGGCGATTTGGAGGAACATGGGCATGGCGAGGTCGAAGTGAGGGCGAGGAGGGTTGCACCAGCCCCCATTGTCGTTGGGAAGAGCTTAATTTGGAGGACAGAAGTTGGTGGCCGTGATGAAGATGGAAGGGCTTCCGGAGTGACACCACTGCTTCTCGTTTGCGCACTTTATCTCAAAGCACGCACCGCAGCTCAGGCCACTGTTGAACAGTGCCGTGCTCAGCGCCGCCGTGTTCACTCCGTATCCTTGGCTGTAAAGGTTTCCGTACCCGCATGCTCCTCCTGAACAAACAATGCCACACATTTTCAGGGAAAATGAAAACACATTAAACAACATCTTACATCTTACATGCTACATGTTAAATGTTACATGTTACATGTTACATGTTACATGTTACATACCCATGGTGCCGGAAGCGTCGGAGCCTCCGTAGAAGGTGGCGTGAGCACTTTGCCACGCGCCGCCCGTGTAGACGCCGGGGATTCTTGCCTCCGTGATCCACATTAGGGAAATGAGGCAGAGGCAGAGGACAACACCCATTTTTGTCTTAACAGTGAAGAGTTAGCAAAGAGTTAAGCATGGGAATGAGTGTGTAGGGGACAGGGGTGCTACTTATGGAGACTCTAACTCAACCTCTCTTCACTGTGGGGCCCACATTTCCAATTCTCAAACCACTCTATCTCATTTATTATACGCCACTTTTTTTTCTTCTTAAATTAAATACTACTTTATCTTTGTGTAAAACCTTTTTTTTTTATTATTATTTTTTATTCCATCACTGCTTAATTAACTGCACTCTCAGTCTGTGGACTGTGGGTGACACTTCCAAATTCTATTGCTCACTCACTTCTGCTGGGAGTAATACAGTAGTCTGTTTCATATTAATGTTTAAGATTTTTGTGCAAATAATTTAAATTATAAATGATGTTTTATATTTTCTAAAATCATTTTCTTTATTTTTTTTTCATGACACTTTGGAATTTTGCTATTCTGGTGTTAAAGTAGTGAAGGAGGGACATGAAACATGATCCTCCAACAGAGAATGGGAAAAGGACAAATAAACGAACCAAATCTTTGGGGAATTCGATATCCATGAACAGAAGGAACCAACCAAATGATGAGGGATGGATGGGTCATCAGAATTCAGAAAACCAAACCCGAGGGGTTACATTACAGAGCCAGTAAATTAATATTGGTACTATAGTAGTTTACTGCATGTTGAGACTTGAGTTGAGAACATAGAGTACACAAAAAAGGGTAAAGAAAGGGAGGTAATTTTCAGCAACGGACAGTTTCGGTTTGTCACATTCATATTACTTGGAATTTTAGTAAATATATAGAAAGCTTTTATTGGAACTGAAACAAATGCCGTTCGAATTATAAAATGTTTCCAGCTCAATTTCTTTATCTTATGATCACATCAGTAACCGTAAATACCATCGTAAACTTTGGTAAAACCTTATGGCTTTGGCTTTGACTTTGCATAGGGCTGTTTTCATTATCTAATAATAATAATAATAATGAAAGAAAAACTATGAAGAAGAGTAGACAGCATAATGATAGCGTATGGGTGTGAAAATTGAAAAAAGAAAAAGAAAGGAGCGGAGATTAGTGCATGTGCATGCTTTAGCTGGCGTGATATGCGGGTTTGATAGAGTAGGTGAATCCCCCAACGACATAATTTATCATATAAATGCTGCAACTGTCACGCGTCAACCAAGAATGACCAAAATATTTGTATATACTATCTATTTGTGATCATATTATAATCATTTCAAAAAAATGATAGGTCCTCACTCCTCACCCACAGCTTAAAATAAATCGAACTTTGAGATTATTTAGATAAATTTTGTATTTTTAATAAAATCTTGATTATACTTTTAATTTATTATTAACTCTATTTTCTATACACTTATTTATACATAGAATTAAATAACAACCACTTAAAGTAATGAGGAACTTTGGAATGAAATTTAAATTTATGATAAGATTAATTAAAAATAATCAACTTAAATATATTTCTTGATCTTGATATTTGTTTTATGTTATTTATAATTAGAATCAAAGATAGTTTTATTGAAAGACTCGTGTAATACTTTCGTATTTCAAAATATGTGTTTGGATATATGTTAATATTATCAGTTTTGAATCAATGTGTATTTGTATACTTGATTTTTGAATAAATGTGAATTAAAAATAATATAATTTTTGTTTGGATGAAAAAGTATATGAACTTGATTTTTGTATTAAATGTTGTTTGAAAATTTGTTATCAAAATTAATTTTGAGTGTATAATTATAAATTTGTACATATGAAGTCCCAAAATTGATTTTGTTAGATCAAAATATTATTACAAATTATTTTTAATTGAACGTAAATTTGAACATCTTGAAATCAATTTTACTAATAGTCAAATATGTAATAAATATAATTTTAATTATCTTAAAAATAATAAAATTGATTTCAAACATATTAGATGTGGAATCAATCACACCCTAAAATTTAAGATATATTTAATTTAAAAATAGGATTGATTCTTACCCTTTTCAATACTAAAACACATTTTAATGGAATTTTTGTTGAAAGATTTTTTTAAGAAAAATTATTTGTGAAATAACTAGAATAGCCTCTTAATCTTCTAAAAAAGAAAAGTTTAGACTCATATTATTAAATGAAAGGTCTCGTAAAAAAAATATTAAATGAAAGGAGAATATTATAACCGTCTTTAATTAAGGTATGAGTAAAAAAATTAAAAGTGGAAATGACAGAATATTGACTCAAATATTAAATTAAAGGAAATGCATTCCTCCCCCAAATCATCGCTCCGCTCTCTATGGGCTATAACTGTAAGTGGACCCCACTCTATACACATCCATAAGTACTAAATAACACATACATCTCTCTATTCAGTTTTTCAGTGTTTGACAACCAATTGAATATTGGACCATGCTTCAATAAACTATTTAGTGCATGTTTGATTAATCATGAAAATTTACTGATTTACATCGAATGAAAAAGATATAAATTCTTACTTTTCATACTAATACACGTGTAAATTTCTTGCAGAAGAATTTTCGAACACTTACATCAATAATTACTTTTTTTACATCGTCAACACATGTTAAATATGAGTAAAAAATTTAACTCTTTTAAAATAACCCGTCATACATGTATGGGATAAGAGGATAATTTTATACGAGAATAAGTTATAAAACAACAAAGTGAAAAACAATTATATTC